GCACTTGGGGAGGAACAACTGGCACCATACCTACAGGTTGGGGAACTCCCTTCTTGTCAGTACAGAGGCGGAAAAGGATCTTGGAGTCATCATTGACTCCAAGATGAACATGGGTCGGCAGTGTGGGGATGCAGTCAGGAAGGCCAACCATACCTTGTCATGCATCCACAGATGCATCTCAAGCAGGTCCAAGGAGGTGATACTCCCCTTCTGTGCAGCACTAGTCAGGCCGCAGCTGGAGTACTGCATCCAGTTCTGGGTGCCACACTTCAAGAGGGATGTGGACAACATGGAGAGGGTCCAGAGGAGGGCCACTTGCATGATCAGGGGGCAGCAGGGCAGGACCTACGAGGAGAGGCTACAGGACCTGAACCTGTTCAGCCTCCACAAGAGAAGGCTGAGGGGGGATCTAGTGGCCTGTTACAAACTAGTCAGAGGGCATCTGCAGCAGCAGTGTCTCCAGTGGTGGGGGAGAGGAGGAGGGGGCAGGTAGAGAGCGGCTGGACGCAGAGCCACCGCTCCGCCCAGCTCTGTACTGCCACTGCTTCACCCGGCTCCATGGGGACCCCCAAAGCGCAGGGCCTGGGGCAGTCACCCTGATTCACACCCCCCTAGGGACGGCCCCAGTCATGGATCCCTTCCAGCATTTTAGTTATCAAAATTGTATCTAGGGTTCCAGCCTGATGGCATATTGCACTGTCCACTCCTGTTGATCATGTTTATGCTTTCAGAAATGACTGTTACAGGGAGAAACTTTATACCATTCTACTTTTTCCCTAGATAAAATATGTGATCAGATCAGTGATGCTGTTCTTGATGCTCACATCAGCATTGATCCAGATGCAAAGGTTGCTTGTGGTAAGTACTGCTTATATACATTAACCAAAGAGAAAAAATATTCTGCATGTGTAAAATAGCATCCTGCATTCAAGGATTTGTTTATTAGACAGCCAAAGCTAAAAGCACATTCTGGAATAGTATTCAAGTGAAGACAGCAATAAGAAATAAGAAAGCAAAATATAATATATAGGGAAAGTGTTGCCCCCAGGATTCCTTTTACTAGAGACCCCCAAGGATTGACATGGCCCCTCGTCCGATTTGGTATCAAGTGAACTTTATTAGTAACCCCATGGCTTATTACAAGCTTATTATCCTTGTAATATGACCTGGCAAGCAGTTCCATCAGGTGTTGCAGCAGTGACCTTTGGTGGTACCGGCCTCAGATCCTCTGCTGGGTCTGTGGGATGTTAGTTTTTGGATTCCTTGTTACTCAAAACAAGAAGTCCAAAATTGCTCCTGTCTTCCCAGGGTGGCAACACAGAACACATGCTGTCTTTTTGTTTGTCCACTACTTTTGTAACTTTCTCATCTCAAATTGTCCAATCCTCAAGTTTCTTATCTCATCTTTTTAGATAAGGTATTCCAATCCTGTTCCATTTTTGGTTTCCTTTCCTTCTAGGGAAACTACTGTACCTGGTAGCCCACCATACCAATCACAGCACTCACTTTTCCTAGTGCCTTATAAGGCGCTCTGTACAATTTAATTGCTTAGTTCTGGGAAGGCCTAAAGTTATGCTAAGAGCCTGAGCATAACTCAGTTTGCCTGTCACAGAAAGGAAAACTGTTAGCAATCAATACAAATTAGAAGTTCTGAGATGTAGAAAATAGAAAAGGTAATCTGATGACATAAGGGAGAAATCATGGCTGGATAAACTAAGGTTGATGATGAATTTACAAACACTTAAGTAAAAAAGAGGATCCTATTCATGATAGTGACCAATTTCAAGATAGAAATAGTAAAACTCTTAGCAAGAAACAAAAGGCAAAAGTTTTCAATAACTATTTCTGTTCTGCATTTGAAGAAAAGCAGGATGATGTATTTGTATCATATTAGGATCTTGATGTACTTTCAAGACCATTTCATAGACATTAGCGCTGGAAGGGATCTCGTAAGATCATTGGTTTCAGCCCCCTGCCCAAGGGGCAGGAAGTCAGCTAGGATCAAAGTGTCCCAGCAAGGTAAGCATCCAAATGCTTCTTAAACGTGTCCAGAGTAGCTGTTTGCACCAGCTTTGAGGGGAGTCTGCTCCAAGCTTTGGGGGTTCGGACAGTGAAGAAGTTTTTCCTTATGTCCTGCATAAAATGGTCTTGCAGGAGTTTGTGACTGTTGGACCTTATCATCCCTTGGGGTGCTCTGGTGAATAGGTGTTCCCCCAGATCCTGATGCACAGCCCTTATGTACTTATAGGCTGCCACCAAGTCACCCCTGAGCCTGCACTTCTCCAGGCTGAAGAGTCCCATGGCTCTCAGCCTCTCCTTGTCAGTCCTGTTCTCTTGCCCTCTGATCATGCACGTGGCTCTCCTCTGGACTCTTTCAAGCTTTTCCATGTCCTTCCTAAATTGCGGAGCCCAGAATTGGATGCACTACTCCAGCTGTGGCCTCACCAAGGCCGAATATAGCAGGAGGATGACATCCTGGGTCTTGCTTGAGATGGATCGATAGATACAAGCCAGAGTTTTGTTCGCTTTACCAGCTGTGATATCACATTGGTGGCTTATGTTCAA